CCCCAAAACCCCAAAACCCCAAAACCCCAAAACCCCGTTAATAAAGGTTTGTATAGAATAAGTTAATAATATATTAATACAACAGAACATGTCAGAGAGAATCAAGAATTCATTGGATGCCACGAAGATTAAGAAGTTCCTTAAAGAGAGAAAGTAAGCAGTCATGGAAGCTCGGTTTGATTAAAAAGATATCTTATGAATTAGAGATGAAATTATTAAAGTTTTTCAATCCTAACATCTTTCCTCGTAAAGTATTGGGGTTTTGATAGGAAAGCCACAATTTATTCAACAGGATATAAAACAATCAGGATACAAAAATATAGGCTAATATACCCCTCTAAACTGTGTTTTCAATTTCGTTGAACAAATTAAGATATACCTACACTCTATTACATTTTCATGGATAATTTTAGATCCAAAAATAGAAGGACGATAAAATCAATTGAGAAGGAAGAAGACAAGACTACCCAAGAGAGTAGGTCGAAATTACTTCACGATATATTGACCAATATTCATGATCTAGTTTAGTGAAGATATTGGTGTAAACATTTTAATAAAATTTTACATATTATTAATAAGTCGTCAGATTCTTAAAATTCTTATTTTTATTTAATTTTAACCATTCTTAATAGACTTTGAAGTAATTGAAGAGTTAGGAAAAGGATCATTTGGGATAGTTTACAAGGTGAAATCAAACTCTTCAGATGGTATGGAGTATTAATTAACTTTACAGGAAAGTTCTACGCATTAAAATAAGATATAAAAAGCTCCAACAAAACAGAAAATCTGCTGAGTGAGGCCATTAATCATAAGAAGGTATCCCACCCTAATATAATAAAATGACATTCCTCCTTCATTGATAGCCAGAATGATCTCAATCTGCTCTTAGAATATGCCCAAGGTCGGGATTTATTGCAGTTGATTCAGGAAAGAAAGATTACCAAAAGGTTTTTACCAGAGAAGTTAATTTGGGATTATGCTTGGCAAATCTGCTGTGCAGTTCTGCATCTCCATGCTAAAGATATAATCCATAGAGATATTAAGGCTACCAATATTCTCCTTTCGAAAGATGAAGAATCTTCTAAATTTGTGATTAAATTAGCTGACCTCGGAGAATCAAGTGAACTTAGCACTAAAGATTATCTGAAAGGAAAGTAAAGTTGGAACTCCTCTGTTTTTGGCCCCTGAAGTTATTAAGAATGATAATTATGATCATAGAGTTGATGTATGGGCTATCGGATGAGTCCTCTATCATCTTGCAGCCTTAGAGCCTCCCTTTGCATACTCTAACTATGAGACTTTAATGAATGCTATTAGGTATAAGAATCCAAGGCCTTTGAGATTATTTTCTAAAAAGTTGTGAAATTTTATCCAAATAATGCTTGAAAAACAAAAAGTCAAGAGACCGTTTATTATTGACTTATTTGATATGTTCCCGAAAGGATATAGTCTTACCAGAGATATTGACGTAAAGCTTATGCATAATTTTAGATCGAGAATTACAACGAATTAAAGCTCAAAGAAAGTAGCCTTATTATCAAAAATGACAGAGACTCAGGAAAACAGAAGATCAATTTAGAGTTTAATGCAATGATTAGTAGACAAAAGAAGTCAAAAGAATCTCTAAACAAGTTGTTAAAATAAAAAGATAAAGGCGAGAAGTACGGGAATACTCTAATTATAGATACTTTTAATCTCAAGAACTCTCCAGATTTCTTCAGAAAGAAGCATCTGAACAGCTCTAAAATTGTTGAAGAGGCTAAATAAGGATTGGAACAAGACAGAGAAAAAGTATTTAAATTTCAAACTAAATGTTATCGATCTAAAACGGTAAGAGATTACACTTACAATTAGAAGCATTAATATTACTAAATAAAGAAGACTTTCAAAAGAATTCCTTGACAAAAAGTGGCTTTTGCAATATAAAAGGGCATCCTCGCAGTGGGTCACTTTCAAGGGTGCAAGCTAATTCATCAATGGGCATGAAAGATCATCACTCAATTCCGGATTACTATCAATCTGAAACTGAGATTCTCCCTAAAGTCCATAAGAAAAATAAATTTATTGTGGTAGGACTAAAATCGTCGAGTTTATCACAAGATAGAAGTAATGAGTCTTATCAGGCTCATTCAAAATTAGAAAACAAATGTTTTGCACCTACTCCATCTCCAAAAGGGAGTAATAAGAACTCATTCTATGGTCATAGAAGTAATAGCATTCCTTGGAAGGATTTTATGATTACCAAACACAGAGAGCAAAATGGTAATTCTCCTCACTTTAAGTCTTAATCCTTGTTCTAGTCACTGAAAGAAGACATTTAAAATTTACGACCTCAGGCTCTTCTCTAGACCAGAACAATTCTATTACTGTTCGAAGGGAGAAAGAGAATTTGAATGCAACCAATGCTCAGAACGCTATTTATCTGGTTAGAATTGAAAGTTATATGTAGAAGGAAGGCCTTCAAGGAAACCAAGGATTCCAGACTTCGTATAAGATGAACTCGGCTCTCAGTAAGAAAATTAAGTTTCTAATAACAGGTTTCTATTGGGGGATTTTGGAGGAATCTTTGAAGTTTAGAGATAATAAGGCCTTACAGTGTTTATGGAGTTTTATAGATCTCCCATTTTATGGAAGAAGCCAAATCGGAAGCGTAAAGGCTATAAAAAGGAAAGTAGTAGGAGATAGGTACCTCAATGCTCCTCATCATTTAAACCAAACGCCAAGTCTCTACGAATCTGAAACAGGAGCTCTGTAATAAAAATGATGATCCTTATAAAATTTCAATTAGTACTCTAAATTTTGGGGTTTTGGGGTTTTGGGGTTTTGGGG